CTAGCCCATATTGTCTTATTTAATCCTTATGATCATCCTGTTGAATTGGAACTTTTACTCTGTGGTCAGGAGAGCTAAGGAACTAGCATAAGGTCACAAATCTGGTGGATTTGGGATCCACTGAGATAGAAGGTTTTAGAGTACTCCACGTTTTCATACTGGATAGGGTCAGGTAGGTTCTAAAGAAAACAGTTCTGCCTCAGAAGAAAACGAGCCATTGCTCATGCAGTTGAATCCTCTCTGTATAGTGATTATTTGGTATTTGTTGGTGTCAGGGTAGAACCCAGGGTTCCATCTACCACTGAGCACTCTACTGCTAAACTTCAGCCCAAGCACAAGCTTCTTTTGAATGTTTACTTTTGTTGATGTTGGTTTTGAGACAGGGTGTCCTATAGCCCAAGCTGGTCTCAAACTCACTGTACAGCTGAGGCTGGCCTTGAACTCCTGATCCTCCTGCCCCTACCTCCCAAGTGCTGAGCTTAAAGGCATACACCACCACACCTGTCCCCCTTTTAGGGATTCTTGTATGTTATGATGTGTGTACATACAAGCTTACAAAAATGATATATGCACATTGTAAAACAGTTCAATACTGAAGACATATGTGATGCTGCAAAGAGTGAGGTTCCCCAGGGATTAGGAATACTCCTCTGTCACCCCCAAATTAGGGAAGGTCACTCCTTTCCTTCCATTGTGTGAACAGAACATTGCATGTGCTGTATTTTTATAGATGATGTTAATGTAAATTCACAAGAATTTGAGAGCTGAACTTCTTTTCTGTGCATAATTAAGTGTATTTAAAATGATTTAAAATAAATTATGAGTCATATCTCAGCCTTTCTTTACCAGTGAAATGAAATGTGATGTGTCAAACTTGAGTTAAATCCACCGTCTCTGTGGATGTGCTTTTGACTTGCATATAGCGAAAAGCAGGCAGGCAAGTCTGAGGCAGCTTCACACACTGTATTGACATTCAACAATGAGAAGGTCAGAGTGGGGAGCTGATGTCAATATGTTCATCCCAAACTGCAATAAAGCTGTCTGGGCAAATGCATTCCCAGCTGCTGCTGTTTCCACCTCCTTTGGGCAAGAAATGCGCCATCCAGACCCTACTCTCTGCTATGAACATGACAAGCTTTCAGTATCAATATAATCCTAGAGTTTTAGGTTTTGAAGAAAAAAAAATCCCTACACCAGATATGGGCTTTTTTTGGGGGGGGGAAGAGTAAGAGATGGCAGCCTAGATTTCTTCCACGTGAAAATTATTGAATAATTGCACAGCATGTCATCATAAGTATCATGAAGTGTGTTTAACTCTCCATTTGGTTTTCCAACACTTTACTGAAGATGTGCTTTTTGAATGTGTGTGTGGGGGGGAATCATTGGCACTTTTAAATATTGGATATTGTGAAAATGAACAAACTCCCTCTACCTCCCTTGTCTTTTTGTTTTGTTTTGTTTTCCTGGGAGGTGAGATACACGCCACAGTAAAAAAAAAAAAAAAAAAAAAAAAAAAAAAAAAAAAAGAAGCACTCACTGTAACCTTGCCTGGTTTAACCCATTTTCCTCCAGGGACACAACCTCAGAATGGACATCACCCCTACCTGCACACATGCTCGTCCCCAGATAAGGTTGCTTGGTCTGCATATTTGGCAGCAAAATACACAATAAAGCAAGGAAAAACAGGGCTCCTTTGAGGGGTGGGGGTTGGGGGGTTCTCTTCCCTGGACATCACTTCCCCATGGTAAGTATCCCTAAAACAAATGCTTACAAAAATCTTGTATTTCTGCTCCCAACAAGTGCCATCAAAGCAGGTGATAGATGAGTCCTTTGGAAAACAAGAAAAGGTGGACAGTATCCAAACTTGGGGTCCATAATCACCTTACCTGTTATGAGATGAGGCCCAAGTGTTTTAGCTCTGCCCGACCTACCCAAATATCAATTTTTAAAAAAGCCAATTCTAAGAAAATTAGAGAATTAAAAAATTAAGAACTATTTCACAAGACAGTTCTATCTATATTGAGTATAACTGAGTTTAGAATTTATGTTGTTGGGGCTGGAGAGATGACTCAGCTAAGAGTATTGGCTGTTCTTGCAGAGGGCCTGGATTCAATTCTCAGCACTCACGTGGTGGCTGTTTGTAACTCCAGTTCCAGGGGTATCTGACACCCTCTGTTGATCTCCTCGGGCACTGCATGATAAGGGTGCACCTATCTGCATGCAGGCAATACACTCATACACAGAAAATAAATAGAATTTATTGTCTTGCCATTTATGGTCAAATGTTTTTGCAGAGTAGCCTGTCTGAGGCCATTAGCACACAGCCCTTTCAACAGGAGAAGCAGCGTTTCCATCCATCAGCCATCATTCGATTAGCATTTGCACTCAACACAGTAACTGGCAAGTGTTTTTGTAGTCTGAGTCCTGGTCACTTCCCCCAGAATAGGCTCTGGGGAGCAATCTGAAGCCTTCATGATAAAAAACAAAGATCATGGCTTTGATATTGCTGGGATGTACAAATGTGGATGAGAAAAGGGTGCCTTAGGACTGTCAGAGTGTGCTGCATTTTATTTAGGAAATGAGACAAAAATCTTTCCATGATCAGCCACTCCATGTGACATCCAACCCACACTCTGCTACTGACATTTTATCTCCCACTGAACAGCCCGGCTGTTGTAACATTTTCAGGATTCTTAATTTATGTCTCGCAGGATCTAAAATCAGATGGCAAGGACTTTAAGAAAATAACCAGTGTTGACAGGCACCTTCAGGAACTGCTACACCTTAGTGCTGCTAAAAGTTGGGGAACATTCTCTCCTATTTCCTCCAAATATGTCCAGAATATAGTAGGCGTGAGATAGAAGCTGTTTGTTCTAAATCATTTACTTTTCTTTTTCCATCTAAATGATAGAAACAAAACAAAACAAAACAAAAACCTTTCCATCCACCCAATATTTGCTAGCAAGCTTATTCTTTTCTTCTCCTAGGATGAGGAATTCCAGCATTTGGTTAATTTAAAATAAATTAGCTCAGGTAATTAAGCTTTTCATCTATAGCCAAGTACTACGGAAAAGTGAAAGGACCAAAAAGCTAGGTGTCTTAAACACTGCAGGCTTTGTGATTTCCTAAATGGTTGGGTCTCAGACGCTGAGTGAGAAGACAGGATAATGATGCCGGCTCCATAGAGGAGGCAAATGGGGTTCTGAAAAGGGAAATGAATGACTGGGCTCAAATCATTCTGCTGTGGAGAAACTGGAACTCAGTGTTCTTTTCATTACACCACGGCTTTGTAAAAGCAGTAACTCTGGATTGGCTTAGCATCTGAAGCTGCTGAAATATTTACTGTCCCGGGTATTAGAGATTCTGAATACTTGGGGATTTAGGGCTTAGACCTGCCAAAGTCAAGATGCCAGTGTCTACGTGGTTCTGGAGTGCTCTGTCTTGATCCTCTTCTTAGAATGAATTTATATCTATTTATTTGTAATGCAGCGCTGGGGCATCTTGAGCCTGATGATTAATTCTTTCACTAACTGCTGGCCTGGGCAAGTTGCTACTTTTCTCTGGGTCTCATTTACCTGTGTTGTAAAATGGAGGTGATAACAGCACCCACTTTATAATTTGTGGAGATTCAATACGTTTATGGAGAATTCTGTGTCAACCTTACCATCATCCATCAGTTAGTCACTTACATTTAAAATGCAGTATACATATACCTATAATGTGCTTGTGATTAAACTAAAAGCCTTGTTTCCATCCCTGGAGAGTGAGAAACTAGTACACTCCTTTTATACAGAACTTTTGCACGTGGTGGACGTTTAAAACCACCTTTTCATTTTACTGAATACTACTACAACCGAAAAGTTGTAAGTGGAAGTCTCTCAGGCATAAGGTACAGATTTCACAAGTGTTTCCAGTTACCTCTCCTCCAGCGCATTTATTATGAAGAGAGGCCAGGTAAAAAGATGGGTAATCAATGCCCATAAAATTCAGAAGACAGTAAAATCTAGCTCTTAGAAACTGCAAAATTTACATCCAGCTGCCCTAAGTTTAGGTTACTAAGTGTACGAACTCAATATAAAGCTCTTGAGGCTTTTTTTTTTTGAGACGGGGTTTTTCTTTGAAGCTCAGGTCCTCGAATTTGCCTTTTGGTCTTGCCTGGGCTTCCCGAGTGCAGAAATTACAGGAGTGCGCAACCACACCCCACTCCCCGAGGATGTTCTTACATTAATTGGGGCGAAACCCTCAACAGATGCTTCCAGTTTTCCGATGGGCTCCCACTCTCTCAGTCCTAAGACCCGTCTGGGCTGACTCTGAGAGAAGGATGCTACAGCAGGTGATGGAGGGGCGGGGTTAGAAGTGAGACTACAGGGAAGTTAAAAATGTGTTAAGAGAAACTTTAAGCCGGGCGTGATGGCTGGAGCACGCCTTTAACCCCAGCACTCAGAGAGCAGAGGCCGGCGTGTCTTCGTGAGTTCGAGGTCAGCCTGGTCTACATAGCGAGTTTCAGGTTAGTTATGGCTACAGGGAGACCCCGTCTCAAAAAGACCGAAAAAAAATAAAAATAAAAATAAAAAAGAAACTTTCAACCCAGGGAAAGACACGAAGCAGCACCACTAATGCCCGGGACACGCCCGCGGACGGCTCTACCCAACCCGACTCAGGCCCCGCCCCAGCTCCAAGCCTCCGTCCCAGCTCCAAAGCCCCGCCCAGCTCTAGGCCCTGCCCAGAGCCCGCCTTTGTTGTTCCGGGTCCTCAGGGCGCTTGCGCATTTATCAAGGTATCTTGGTATTGCCCGCATCTAAAGGAGCGGGAGAGACTACCTCATGCTTTCTGAGAACCCCGACACAGCCGCTCTCCGTGCACTTCTAGAGCTGGCTTTCCTCTCTCGGCCTTGAGAACCCGGCGTGTTTCTCTAACATGGCTTCAGAGGGCATGTTTTGAGTCAGGCGCTCCGGGGCAGCCCGTGTGCTGGCGCGGGGTAGGGGGTGGGGTGGGGTCCTTGGTCTAGTCTTGGGCCGGCCCAAGGGGAAGCGGGGTCCTTCTCTGGGGCGGTCGCGCGGGCAGCGGCCGTGGGAAGCCGGACTCCAGGCATGATGTACTACAAATTTAGTGGCTTCACGCAGAAGTTGGTTGGAACATGGGCTTCGGATGCGTATACCCCGCAGGTATGCGCCGCCCCGCACCAGCTTGGGCGGGAGAATGGCAGCCCGAGGCGGGCAGCCGTGGTGTCGGAGCCGGGCTGTTCCTGCCGGCCGGTACGCTTTGCTCGCAGCTCCTGGCACCTCCGCGCTCTGGCTTGCAGCGGTCGCCGAGGCTACGCTCTGTCACTGCGCCCTAGGCGGAATTGGCCCGGCACTTTGTGGTCTGACACCCTGCAGGGGTCAAGGTGACCCCTGGGGTTGCTGCTTGTCCAAGCTGGGTGACCTGTGGAGTCTGTAGGGTGCAGAATGTGACTCACCAAGTTCGGGGTTCAGCTGTCTGCGGTTTTTTTTTTTTTTTTTTTTTTGAGGTGGCTTTTCCGATTATGCTGCGTCTTTCACAGCCCCAAAAGCTGTCTGACCCCGAGCACCAGTTAAAGAATGGGAATGACTGGTGGCCTTGCGACGGAGGAGCCAGTCATGATCCTCATTGGGAGACATAATGGGTCCGGGATACTTTCTGAATGTCAGATGTTCGGCAAAGCGTGAGAAGTGACACGCAACGAGGTTACCCATTCGTAGTTACAAAGTGGGGACTGTGACCACTGGGTGATATGATACTCAAGAGTCCACGTAGGTCCTACCATTTGGAGGGTCAGTCTCCAGCCTCACTGTTGGAATGATGTGGTAGAGTCCCATTACAGATCGGTCTAGGCACTGAATTTTTGTGCTTTGATTTTGTGACCTTGGCCATTACTTTTTTGGGGGAGCTCTGTTTAATTCAGGGCAGCATTAGTTGAAGTGAGGTGTCAAGTAAGCAACATATTTGGAGGTGAGGTCGGTGCTGGATAAGTGGCATCTGTTCTCCAGAACCTGTCTGAGGTTAGGTTTATTATTCTTTAGTATGAGAAGGCTTAATACAACAGGAAGCTAGGCAAACTTGGCTAGAATAGTAAAGGACCCATTTGGACTGTAAAGGATATTGTTATTGTTGCATCTTTTTTTTTTTTTCCTGTGAGACCGGCAATTAGCCCCAGGGGAGGATGGCCAAGAGCCATTTCAGTCCAAGATTAGATGTGCTTTTAGGATTAAACAGGGCAAGAAGAAAGGCAAAGTTTTTATTTTTTAGAGGAAGGCTATGAGGAGGAAAACTAGAATTTATGTGTTGAGCTTGTTATGATATGTTTGGTAACTCCTGAGTTTATTAATATGGCATTTAATAGAGTTGGGTATCTTGAGTTCATGGTAGTGGCAGACTTTGGTGATGGAGAGATCATCCAGGAAGTACACAGAAGAAAGAGACCATGGTTCAGTTATAGGAACATGAAGGAAGATGAAAATGTATCCAAAAAACAGTCTAGAATTAGAAGGGGAGCCAGCGTCCTGTCTCTAAAACCCAGTTGGTAATGAGTTGTACCGAAATAATTGCCAGTGGTGTTGACAGTGATTCCAGATTATGTAGGAAAGAAAGTGGCCATTTCCATATGTCTTCTGTAAAGTGTATTTTTCAGTGCATAGATCCTAAGTGTTAAAATTTGTGTTTTGTGAGGTTTTCTTTTCTTTTTTTTTTTTCCCTCGTCTTTTTGTCTTTTTGAGACAGGGTCTCCGTGTAGCCCCAGCTGTCCTGGAACTCACTGTGTAGACCAGGCTGGCCATGAACTCACAGAGATCTGCCAGCCTCTGCTTCCCAAGTGCTGGGATTAAAGGCGTGCACCACCACACCCGGCTGTTTTTGTTTTTTTGAGATAGAGGCTCCCTGTAGCCCCAGCGGTCTGGAACTGGAGTTAAGGACGGTTTGTAGCCACCATGTGGGTGCTGGGAATCAAACCTGGGTCCTCTGCAAGAGCAGTCAGTGCTCTTAACTGCTGAGCCATCTCTCTAGCCCCATAGATATTCTTTTACTAGAGCTTTAACGTAACCTAAGTTTTGTTGCTCAGTAAGGAAAAAGGAAAAATTTTTGACTAACAAGCGACATTGAAATAAAATTGGCATTCACAGCAGAGATCATCTAAACATGCTTTTAATAAGGCTTTCAGATTTTGGGCACCCCTTGAATTATATTTTATATGAGAATTTGAACTTCTTGGTTGAAGATTTAAAAAAAAAATTTTTTTTGATGGTACTGGAAATTGAACTCAAGGCCTCAGACCTGCTAGGCAAGTGCTCTACCACTGAGCTGTATCACCAGTTCAGTTAAAGATTTGAGCTATATTGAAAAAAGCAGTTTTGAGTAGGCATTCCAAGAATGGTGGATTCAGTGACTGACAGCCGCTTCCCCAAACTGGTGCTTAGATCTGGATAATTAGTTGTATTTTGCTTTTTTCCTTTCTTGGAAACAGTGTTCTGTACTGTGAAGATCTTAGTAACATTCAGGTGTTGTTTTTTTTTTTTTTTTTTTTTTTTTTGAGACAAGGTCTCCCTGTAGCCCCAGCTGTTCTGGAACTCACTATGTAGACCAGGCTGGCCTTGAACTCACAGAGATCTGCCTGCCTCTGCCTCCGAAGTGCTGGGACTACAGGCGTGCACCACCACGCCCAGCTAACATTCAGTTTTATGTAAAGTGAAGAACCTAACGTTAAATAATCAAACATGGAAAGGCTAATTCTGTAATACTAGCACATAGATTTGTAAGTCAACTTATTGTTTAGAGAGTATTTCTTAGTTGGCTGCCAGGCTTGGTGGTTTGTGACTTTTTAATTCCAGCACTTGCAAGTCAAAGACAACTATGAGTTTGAGGCCAGCCTGCTCTACATATGGAGTTCCAGGCCAGCCAGGACTACACAGTGAGATCCTGTCTCCAAGAAGAAAAAAAAGGCATTTGTCTTTTAGGATATCATTCTGGGACCTTAGCTAGAACTGTTGGGTCATACACTCATTCTGTTTCTCTATAAACTTTTGATACATTTATTAGGAAATACATATTTTCCTAGTTAAACTAAAACTGTATTCTCGAGTAGCTGCACCCATGACGTGGGAAAGGGAGGATCTTTGTTTGCTGTAGAGAGCCAAGTAGGCTGAGGAGTGACTTTAGGCATTTGGAGTGTGAGGTGGCAGAGGGATATGGTGACATGCAGTTTGCAATTAGAAATGAATTGTGTCACTGAAGATTTAATCTAGTGTCCAGTTATAAATCTGACATGAATGGTTTGATAGGTTTCTAAAATTTAAGTGAAACAGTTTTCTTTTTTTCTTTTTAATTTTTAAATGAATTTTTGCGTATTCATACAGAAAAAATTTTTTTTAAATGTGTGTGAATGTATTGCCTGCATGTTTGTGAGTGCACCCGGGTCGTGCAATGCCACAGAGGTCAGAAGAGGGCTTCGGATTCCCCTGGAACTGGAGTTAAGGATGGTTCATAGCCGCCATGTGGGTGCTGGGAATCGAACCCGGGTTCTCTGTAAGAGCAATCAGTGCTCTTAACTGCTGAGCCATCTCTCCAGCCCCTAGAAAATCATCTTTATACCCCCTTTCCCTTTAGCACCCTCCCAGGGCCACCCACTGGAATTCATACATTGTCATTTGTGTTAAGGCCTATCATGTAAAGTTAGTGTCCCCAGATGTCCCTCATGTCAAGTTCATCCACTGGGATCTAGTCAGCCTATCTAGAATCCCTTCCTTTAAGAAGATTGGCTCTTCCTCACTCAGCAGTAATCAGCTGCCAGTAATTCTTCAACCAAGATTTGGGGCCTGCTGTTCATTTCCACAGTTCTCTTCTGGGTTTTTGTCTGCCTAAGTTTACGTGAGTCTTATGCATACTGACACCATTGCTGTAGGTTCATATGAGAAGAGTCCCAGCAGCCTATAGGACTATTTCCATATGGTCATGCACCTCCCCTCTGGCCCTTAGAATCTTTCCCTCTTCTGTAATAATGGTCTCTGAGCCCTGGGTGGGTGGATTTTCATATGGAAGCCCTGTCCAAGGACTACACTCTGCAGACTCTTATTCTCTACACTTTGGCCATTTGTGACCTTTTGTGTTCCTGGCCCTCTGTTGCATGAGGGAACTTCATTGATGAGAATTGAAAGATGCATTAGTGTTCTCTTCATCCCTTGTTCTATGTTTGTAATTTTTTTTTACATTAGTTCATTAGTTTAGACGGGAGGAAAAGGGACTTCCAGGTTCCTTGTGAAATCCAACTGGCAGTTCATACAGATCATAAATGTTTTGCTGGTTTGGTAAGGGTAGACAGTACTTAAGCTCACATTGGGCCTTTGTTGTCCTTCCCATCTTACTGGTGGGGAGTTCTTGACAGAGTTTTCTCTGGGAAAGCAGATAAAGGTATTTTGTCAAAAGTTGGAGGACCAACTAAAGGCCTCATACATAATGCAAGTCACAGAAACCCCCCTTCCTTCCATTGTGGTTGAGTGGTGCCTCTGTTCCAGACAGCCTGTTTCGTGAAAGATTTGCTCAGATGCCTACACTTTCAGCTTGCCATTTTCCTCTGCCTTCTTACAGGGATTAAAGCCTATGGCTTCCACAGAAGCCCCACCCATCATATTTGCCACACCGACCAAATTGACCTCTAATGTGACGGCATATGATTATGCTGGGAAGAACAGAGTTCCAGAGCTGCAGAAATTTTTCCAGGTGAGAGGACACTCAGAAACAGAGAACCTGTGAAGTAAATGGGCAGGAAAAAAAAAAAAAAAAAAATCTTCTAAAACAGAGTTTCAGTTTAGTGTTGTTTCTCTCAAACCTTTTTCTTTAAATAGGAAACTCTTGATTTTAGTTTGAGCTATAAACTGATAGAACTTTTTACAGGTAGATAAGAGTGAGAGAGGGAAGGCAGTTGACATCCTTATCACTGTATAGGCATGCACAGGTTTTCAGATAGCATGTTCATATGCTCAACAAAGAAGTCAGAGTTGAAATATCAAGTAGTATTGATCTACTTAGAGATAACTAAGAACCTAGTGACCTGAATCAAGTGCCATGGAATGGTAGAGCCTGCTGTGGCTGTTGTATAGAGTTGCTTCCACCACAAAGATTTTTCTAGATTTTGGGCCATCCTGGCTATGAGGACTTTTGTGGTGATCAGTATAATTGTTTTTATTCTGATGAATAAGATTTAAGAGGCCATTGTAGGCCTGAGGACTTTGGAATCTACAAAATAATGAACTATTCTGTGGAGTCTTGAATATTAAACATGTTAGCCAATTGATAGAAAGCAGATAGTTGATTATAAAATGGGCTGAAGTGTATAGCTCACGGTACTCTGTCCCCTTTGGTCAGAAGCCAAACTGAATGCAGAAAACTCAGAATTTCTTATGCCTGTGTTTTGTTCAGCTGCTGATTGTCTTTGTTTTTCAAAAAATTCCCCAGTAGCTGGGTGTGGAGTTGCATGCCTTAATCCCAGCACTCAGGATGCAGAGGCAGGAGGAGCTCTGAGTTTGGGGCCAGCATGGTCTATGTAGTGAGTTCCAGACCAACCAGGACTACATAGTGAGACCCTGTCTCAGTAAACAAACAAACAAAAATCCCTAGTGCTCTAAATGCCTTGGAAACTTGGGAGTTTGTTGCCTCCTGTTGTTTCAGACTCCATTTTAGAGAATGAATTTGGATTTTTATCTTGAGTGCATTTTAAAGAAAATATGCCAATACTTTGTCTACACTTGATACATTAGGGCTTTTCCTACTGTGTGGTTTTATGGACTAGTTTCACAGTGGGCAGAATGTTCTTTTTACCCTGTTGTAAAATCTTTTTCTTATTAGCCAACTCCTTGTCAATTCTTGTTTTCAAGAAACCTGACGGTGTGCCCATCCACCTGAAACGAGGCCTGCCTGACCAGATGCTTTATCGGACTACCATGGCGCTGACTGTGGGAGGGACCATCTACTGCCTGATCGCCCTCTACATGGCTTCCCAGCCCAAAAACAAATGAATTTGCCTGTGGAGGACTGGTTTGCTATATGGCATAAACCCTTTGAATTTTGTGCAGTTTTTTTTTTTTTTCTCACTTGAATGGTCTACTTAACATTTTCACAAAACAAAGGAACAGATAAGAAGACAGCACTTTGGTTTGTTTATGAAATGCATATGGCATGTCAGATGTCAGAGTTCATTTGACAGTTAAAACTATTGTTTAAGGGAATGACACAGAGCTCTGTGTTTGGGCTCCTGATTTCCCTGGAGGTTCTGGATGAAGGTTGCTCACAGGCTCATTGTCAGTCTGTGCTCAGGTCCTTGGGGACTTGGGCCTGTGTTTATAAGCGTGGAGCACAGAACCCTTTCTGGGTTTGCATGTGCCTGATGAAGGAAGACAAAAGCCAAGACCGGGCCTGTGGAATAAAGGTTTGAGCTAGCCACCTTGGGATTTTTCCAGTAAAATGTTAGTAGAAATTATTTGCAGTCTGCCTCTATTCTTTGGGCAGTTTGTTTCAAAGGGTTATTTGCCTCATCCCAGATCTTTAGTGAAGTGTTATGTATGATTGTTGTGTATTTATTCCACCATGGGAACAGAGAACACCTGTTCAGTGTTGCACTTTAGACTGGCATCTGCTTTGTTAATGCAACTGTACCAGAAATTCTCCTTTATCTTTTAAAAATGTTACAACTTTAAATTATGATTGATTTGACTGTGGAGTAAATACATGAATAAAACATTTCAAGTTTGAAGTTCTTTTCAATTAATTGATCTTGTAAAATAATTGCAGAGCACTGAGGTATACCAAACCCGAGTCTTGATTTCTTTTCATTTAGACACCATACAATCTTTATATAATGTTTTCTCAAAATCAATTAATAGGCTTCTAGTGGCATATTGTTGATTACCGTGTAGTTTATAAGAAACCTGCTGGAATGTATCTGTACAATGCACAGTTGATTTAAGACACAAAATCTGTTCATCTGGACTGCTAGACTTCATTTGCCCTATGCTAGTGCTGAAAGCAGGTTTAATGCATGTAAGGTGATGGTTTCTTGCTGTAGCAAAGATCATTGATCACTTCTTAAAAATCAGGTGTGGTATTTGAGCTAGGTGCACACACCTGATGTGACATTAGTCTGGAGGCTGAAGCATGAAGATCACAAGTTTGATACTAACCTGAGCTACGTAGAGAGATCCTGTCTCAGAAAATAATAGCACACCAAAGATTTTCAGGATGATACACTACACACCTGTGTGTCCTTCACATAGAGATGCAGGCTTGGTTTTTAAAGGATCCTTTAAGGTTAAGTTTGGAAGTAATGATGAATCAGCCACAGATGCCTTAGCAAATGTCTCCTAAGAGTAGGTTCATGCTCCTTCATAACCGTAATGTGAGTTTTACTATAGTAGGATTCATATACCATGTGTACTCATTGTCTTGTTGACGCAACACAATACTGGACAAAAGCAGCTTAAGGAAGGAATGGTTTGTTTTGATTTACAGTTTCAAGGGATACAGTCCAATTTGGCGGGGAAGGCATGGTGGCAGGAGCAGGAGGCAGCTGCTCACACTCTCCAGGCTGGAAGCAGAGAATGATGAATGCTGTGCTCACTTATTTTTTATTCAGTCTAGGACTAGCCCTTGGAATGTGCCACTTTCAGTTAAGGTGACTCTTCCACCTCAATTAACCTAATCTGGCTAATCCCAGGCATGCCCAGAGACTTTTCTCCTAGGTGACTCTAGATCCTGTCAAGTTAGCTATATTAACCATCACAGTTAGCATCCAGTTCACACAAATTGTTCAGACGTTACCCTGATGAATGCAGAGCATTTTCACCACCCTACAAAGAAGCCCCGGACCTTTTAAGTCATTTCCCTTCCCCATCCCATCTCTTAGTGACAAGCAATCACTGTGTACTTTGACCTCTCTGGAGTTACATTTTCTGGATATTTTGTGTGACTTGTTAGTGATTGCCTTTCTTTGTGTGCTGTTTTCAGAGCTCATTTGCACTATGGCATGTATTGCTTGGTTCCTACACAGACTTTTTTTTTCCTTTTGAGATGGTCTCACTTTGTAGACCAGGTTGCCCTTGAACTTGTGACTCTCTTGTGTGAGCCTCCTGAGTGCTCTGATTACAGGATGTGTGTCACCAGTAGCCACTTCATTTCTTTTCATGGCTATATAACATTTGACTCCATTCGTCTTCTAGTGGACATCTGGGTTATTTCTCTTTGGAGCTACTATGAATAATGCTGCAGTAAGAGATGGTGAACATGACTTTTGCCTCCACATTCCAGTTCTCTTGGACATGCATCCGAGAGTGGAATTTCTAGGTTATATGGCGACTGTTTAGCCACCCCCCCCATTTTCGTGTGTGTGTGTGTGTGTGTGTGTGTAAATGTGTGTAAGCCCAAGGTTGATGCTGGGCATCATCCTTGATCACTTTTCCACCTTATTGAGGTAGAGTCAATCAAGCCCATCCATATGGCTAGTCTCACTAGCCAGCTTGCTCTGGGGAATCCTGTTTCCCCTTCTGAAGATGGAATTACAGGGAGGCTGTCCCATCTGCCTGGAATTTACATGGGTTATGGGGATCTGAATTCTGGTCCTCATGCTTCCATGGCAGGTGTTAACCACTAAACCATCTCCCCAGCCCATGGTTTAACTTAATTTTAACAACTACCAGACTTTCCAGCTCAGGTGTGACATTTTACATTCTCACCTGCTGTTGTGTGAACTTTTTCTGAAGAGATGAATAAATGTATACTTAACTAGGGCACCAGCACCCCCCCCAACCCCCTGCAAAAAAAAGTTTCACCCAACTGTAGCTGGAGGCAACAATGAGTTTAATTTGTGTTCTCTACAGAAGTATGGCAACTACTGAAGAAAATGTTGGGTAGAATGCTTACCTAGTGTGGATGAAGCCTTGGGTTCAATCCCCAGCTTGGGCTCAGTAAGACTGTTTCAAAGAAAATGTGTCTCCCCAGCAACTATTCATCCAAGCCCATTAATCATCAGGGAGAGCAGGGCCTCTGTGATGAAAGCTGACAGGCTGCATCTTGAACAGTTCATATCGGGGGAGTCACAGCTGCTGGGAGTTCAAGAGGACGGTACTAGAGGATAGCACCTCCCAACACTCCTTTCTCCCAGCTCTTGCATTCCCTCTACACCCCTTGGAGGGTATGTTGCACTTGGGAGAGAGCATTCAATAACACTTATTCTCAGTACTTTGACCACGTATGTGTCTGCAGCAAACCATCCACTGCAGTTGTTTTCTCTAGAGATAAATGTTGAGTACAGCAGTATGGATGGGAGGCTCTCCCTTAGGCCCCCACAGTCCAGTTGTTCTCCATCAGCCATCCAGCTGCATTATCCCAAGGTGCTGCCATAGGGCCACCATGCACCCCCTACCTCCGTTGGTGAGACCAAGCTGACCCATTTTCTGACTGGCCTGGGGTTGCAGGGAGCACCTGCTGTCACTGCTGTACCCAGCTGGAGTCAGGTTTTGGAGGTCTGAGAGCCTCTGGGCCTCATATGTAGTTAGTCACTATTTCTTCATTGGCCACAACTGCCTTCTGACAGGGCACAGGGCTGCTTGAACAATTTCTAACCCCAGTATACTTTGTTGCAGTTGAAATAGTGCACAGCTTATTCTTGGGGTGTAACTGCCCACTCTGGGACTACTTCACTGTTTTCATCTTCAATGCTCTGTCATTTATATCTTCATTAAACCTTTGCTCAGACCTTAAAGCCTTCCACAGGCTTAGAAGCACTGAATTTGCCTTCTGATTTTTTTCCTTTAGAGACTGGCTCAGCAGGCATCTTACCAAATTGCTTTCAAGTGATCTAGACAGGTCTCTTTCCCTCCCATGCCCCCGACCCCCCATCTCCTGATTGCTTTTGCTCTTCACAAACCTGATTTACAGGCCAGTCTAAATAATCCAGATCTGCCTGAGCCAAATCTACCTTGTAAAGATCATGCCCCACCATGGGACTCAGCAAAGCCACTAAAGACCCATACCAGTACCAAGGTGCTTGCTCAATCAGCCTTTTTCTTTTTTGCATGTGTGTACATGTATGTACATGTCTGTGTGTTTGATGAATGTGCATATTAGGATGTGTGTATGTGTAGGCCAGAAGGACAATATCAACTGTCATTGCTCAGGTGCCATCAACTTATTTTCTTTTGAGACAGGGTCTCCCTGTGGCACCAGGCTGGCCTTGAACTCACAGAGTTCCTCCTGCCTCTGCCTCCTGAGTGCTGGGATTAAAGGTGTGGGTCACCATGCCCAGCCAACTTTTTTTCTGGTGGTCTCTGAATGGCCTGTAGCTTGCCAAGTAGGCTAGACTGACTGGCCCACAAGCTCTGGCAACCCACCTGTCTCCACCTCCCCAGTGCTGGGGTTTACAAGCATGTGCCACCTTGCCTGGGTTTTTGCTGGAGGTGAAATTTGGGTTCCTGTGCTTGCAAGGCAAGCATTTTACTTAATGAGCTACATCCCCAGTTCCAAACCATCCACTTTAAAAATTATTTAATGTGTATGTGTTTGCCTTGCATGGAGGTGCACCCATATGTGTGCAGTGCCTGCAGAGGCCAGAAGAGGCATCAAATCCCCCAGAACTGGAGTTACTGGAGGCTGTGAGTCACCATGTGGGTGCTCTGAGCTGCAGAGCCATCTCTCCAGCACCCCCTCCCCCACCCCAAATCAATCTCTTAAAATTTTTATTTTTTTGCATATGAGTGTGTGCTTGTCTATATGTGCACCAGGTGTGTGCAGTACCTGTGGAAGTCAGAAGAGAGCATCATGCCCCCTGGAATTGGAGTTGCCGGTGGTTGTGAGCTACTGTATTGGTGCTGGGAAGCAAACCTGGGTCCTTTGCAAGAGCTGCAAGTGCTCTTAACTGCCATTTCCAGCCCTCAACCTCTTAACTCTCCTATGAACACAGTCCTATCTGAAGGAACTGGACATCAAAACTTCCTCTGTCATTGCCAAGTTCCCCTAGTAATACCTGTTCTTCTGTTGTCTTCCAGTGTCTGAAAATCACAGGGACCTCAACTGGTGGTAACCAAGTGTCCCTGATAAGTCATATGAGCCAGTCCATCAGGGTCGATTTCCCTTCTATTTCTTTACATTAACTTAATATCTCCTCAGGGAGGAGCCTCTGAGGCCCCTCCCTGCTAGTAGCTGTTGACTCTGTACAAATCCTTGGGAAGGAATGGAGCCTCGTGAACCGCTATCAATAGGCCCAGGTGCTGGGAGTTCAAGAGGGTGCCTGCCACGTGCTTGGAGGACCAGGTTCCACAACACCTGTGCTTATAGTTGGTATTTTTGTTGTGCATCCAGATCCAGTCAAGGATCATACATCATGTGTAATTGTCATAGATCCTTTAGTCCCCCTTTATTCAGAATAACCCCTTCATCTTTTCTGACACTGACCTGTTTGAAGAGTCTGGGGAAGTTCCATGGGACATCCCCTCACTTGGGTTTGTCCATGTCTCCATGTTACTAGTTTCAGGTCAGAAGTCCTTCACAGATGATGTGGTGTCCCTTTTGTTAGGTGGCACTTATTCTGTTATTAGTGATTTGAAATTAGACATTAGGTAAGATGTTACTAGACAGATAATTCTCCTGAAAAGATATTTTTTCTCCTTTGTAATTGATAAGCAGTCTGTGGCTTGGTATTTGAGACTGGTACTACCCTGTTCTCAGCAGTTTTGGCACCCAATGTTTGTGCTCATTGGTGAA